GACATACAGACAGACATACAGACATACAAACAGACATTCAGCTTTATATATAAGATACCCCTTTATTTACTAAATTGGTTAAAGTTCTGTCCCACCACTTTCAAAAAAAAATCGCAACTTTTTCCTATCACCATATTTTTGCGTAATTTTAATTTTCTTGGAAAGTATAAACCATCCACTTTCCAATGGCACCTTGCCTACTCTCCAGTAAGCTTTCAATGCAGGAATAAAATTAAGAAAAAGAAATCACTACAACTTCGGGAATTTTGAGCCAAGTTCTTTAAAAATTCTAGAACTGCGCGAAAAAATCTAAAACAACCAGTAACCTAGGTTTCTTAATACTGAAGTAAGATTGGAACCACCCTGCCTGATCTGAAATTACCATAGAAGATGTGCATGCGAGAATATTTGTTTCGTTAAACAATTTCTAACTATTTACGAATTTTCTAAAAGAAGAAATTCGTAATTTCTGTAGATAAACAGCAACGTCAGCAAGGGAAATGTTTTTAAAACCATCCTGTCTTCCGCTTTTAGAGCATATATAGTTTGCTTGGAGTCTGTCGAAAAAAGTGCCTGGTGAAAGGAGTGGGTAGTGATTTCTAAATATTCTGAGTTTTTAGGATAAAAAAATCCGTAACATCTGAAGATAAACATCTTCTACTCCAAGATGGTTACCTTTGAAACCGCGTTCTCCGCTTTCACAAAATATCTAGCTTCCCTGGAGTCCATCGAAAAAAGTACCTGAGTGAAGGGTGTCCTAGTGATTTCTGGAAATTTTCGAGTTTTTAACATAAAAAAATTCATAACATTTGTAGATGAACATCTTCTACGCTGTCTTGGTCACCATTCGAACCGTCTCGTCCTCCGCTTTTGGAAAATATATACTTTGCCTGGGGTCCATTAGAGTGCCGGGTGAAGGGTGGGTGAGACATTTACAATGGGAGTTCTCAAGTAGAGGCTTTTTACCATTGTAAAAAGACGTCTACTTGAGAACTCCCATTGTAAAAGTCTCACCCACCCTTTACCCGGCAGTTTTTGTAATGAACCTTAGGCAATGTACATATTTTCTGAAAGCGGAGGATGAGACGGTTCCAACGGTTACCATCCCAGCGTACAAGAAGTTCATCTACAAAAGTTATGAATTTTTCAAGGTTAAAAACTCTAAAATTTCCAGAAATCACTAGGACACCCTCTACCCAGGTACTTTTTTGGACGGATCTCAAACATGCTATATATTTTCTAAAAGCGGAGGACACCATCTCGGCGTAAAAGATGGTCATCTTCAGAAGTTACGGATTTTTTTATCCCAAAAACTCGTAAATATCCAGAAATCACTAGGCACACCCTTCACCGCACTTTCTTGAATGGATCTCAGACATGCTGTATACTCTCTAAAAGCGGAAGACGAGGCGGTTTCAGTGGTATCCATATCGGCGTAAAAGATGTTTATGTAGAAAAGTTATGAATTTTTTTGTGTTAAAACTCGAAAATATCCAGAAATCACTACCCACACCCTTCACCAAGCATTTTTCTTAACAGACTCCAGGCACCTTGTTCAACAGACTCCTCCTTTCCTATACATAGACAATTCACGTCTCCTTTGCTTGACTTTACGTCAGTGTTGATTTTTTTCTCGGCTTTTGGTGAAGGGGGTCACCTTGTTCCAGTTCAGGACAAGACAGTTATTAACGATGAAACATTAAAGACATTTTTTGGTGCACCCAAAGATTCGTATGGGAGAGCGACCATTTGGCGAGGTGCAGCTATGTGGCCGAGCTGCTTGCATTGAAAACGAAAAAAGGTGTATATGTGATATATGATGTTAAGCTTTCCAAGATTGATAGTCCCTTCCTTTATTGCCAGTAACAGTTAACAATCAGTACGGTCTACGTTTCGGCGAAGATCGCCTTCTTCAAGACCTGGAAGCGAGTCAACGTGTGCAGTAATTCAATCCAAGGGTAGACATACCTTCAACAATACTTGTAGGGTACGCCCACCACTCTGACAACGTGTCAGACCACTACTCGCCGTTTAGTGTGATGGAATGAACTTTCCTTGTATGGTCAGACTCGAATCCACAATCAACATTTGTAGGAAAGGGGCGAGTTCATTACTGACGGCAACCCTTTCTCCTTTCCTGTTTAGTTTAGGACATCTGCATGATATCCAACAAGCCTCTATGGCTTTTCGCGCGGCAATATTCGTTTCTTTGGAAAGAACAGATATGCTGATGTCAAACGCGATGTCCTGGTGGGAAAGTTTTCGATGTGCGCCTAAAGGCGTGGACACTCGCGATTTTCGCATTCCATCCAAATGTTCGTTTATTCTTAGGCACAACGGTCTTCCTGTTTCTCCAATATATTCTTCACCACACATTTTACAAGTTATAAGATACACAGTACCTCGGCACATGCAATCTCCCGGTTTATTGGAATTGCATACAATGCAGTCCGCCTTCACACACGCTTGATCATGACTTCTATTGCGCACTAGGAGCTGTTTTAGGTTCGGAGGCGGGATTTCGACAAGTCTTAGCGAATTTTGCAAGCCGGATTTATATATGCAACTCCTGATCGCAGCGCTTAACTTATCAGATATAAAGGGCATAAAGAATGGCACTCGATCGTTGTTATTATGGCTGACATCATTGAAAACTTTGGCACTACGACAATCGCTTTTGCTTCTCCGCGGCAGGTAACCATTTGCTTGTGCGATTTGGAAAGCCTGCTTAAGTGATGCGGACCTGAGAGCGTCATCAGAAGACACTCCTTTTGCTGTACGTAACATGTGTCGGATAATGCTAAGTTTCATTCGGATCGGGTGTGCAGAGGAGAAGTGTACCAGTATGTTTTTATTGCTCGGTTTTCTGAACCAGCTGGTTTTGTATTCTCCTTTGTACAAGCAGATCTGGACATTTAGAAAAGGTAGCCATCCCTGCTTAGGTGTTTCTCTCGTGAATTTGATATCAGCCATTTGATTATTTACTATGTCAAAACACAGGTCCATTTCCGCTTGCGTGGGGCAGACGATGAGTGTGTCATCGATATACCTCAAGTAAAGGATAGGTTTGCGGTTGAATATGGGTTCTTCTATTTTCGACATAAATGTAACTGCTAAGATAGGTGCCAGTTGGCCTACCACTATGTCCTGTGCTATACGTCCTCATAAAAACACACAAATTACCATCTAACCTACTTAATTCACGAAATCCTTAGGATTATAAAGTTCGCCCGATCATAAGTAATGTCGATTTTTTAATCAATTTCTACGGCTTGAACATCCAACAAGTCATGACATTGTTGAAGGAATGCTTAGAGTGTTCGATTTTTAAATGGTCGGGACAGTACTACAAGCAAATTCGCGGGCTCGCAATGGGCCAACGTTTGGCACCTATCTTAGCAGTTACATTTATGTCGAAAATAGAAGAACCCATATTCAACCGCAAACCTATCCTTTACTTGAGGTATATCGATGACACACTCATCGTCTGCCCCACGCAAGCGGAAATGGACCTGTGTTTTGACATAGTAAATAATCAAATGGCTGATATCAAATTCACGAGAGAAACACCTAAGCAGGGATGGCTACCTTTTCTAAATGTCCAGATCTGCTTGTACAAAGGAGAATACAAAACCAGCTGGTTCAGAAAACCGAGCAATAAAAACATACTGGTACACTTCTCCTCTGCACACCCGATCCGAATGAAACTTAGCATTATCCGACACATGTTACGTACAGCAAAAGGAGTGTCTTCTGATGACGCTCTCAGGTCCGCATCACTTAAGCAGGCTTTCCAAATCGCACAAGCAAATGGTTACCTGCCGCGGAGAAGCAAAAGCGATTGTCGTAGTGCCAAAGTTTTCAATGATGTCAGCCATAATAACAACTAGTGCCATTCTTTATGCCCTTTATATCTGATAAGTTAAGCGCTGCGATCAGGAGTTGCATATATAAATCCGGCTTGCAAAATTCGCTAAGACTTGTCGAAATCCCGCCTCCGAACCTAAAACAGCTCCTAGTGCGCAATAGAAGTCATGATCAAGCGTGTGTGAAGGCGGACTGCATTGTATGCAATTCCAATAAACCGGGAGATTGCATGTGCCGAGGTACTGTGTATCTTATAACTTGTAAAATGTGTGGTGAAGAATATATTGGAGAAACAGGAAGACCGTTGTGCCTAAGAATAAACGAACATTTGGATGGAATGCGAAAATCGCGAGTGTCCACGCCTTTAGGCGCACATCGAAAACTTTCCCACCAGGACATCGCGTTTGACATCAGCATATCTGTTCTTTCCAAAGAAACGAATATTGCCGCGCGAAAAGCCATAGAGGCTTGTTGGATATCATGCAGATGTCCTAAACTAAACAGGAAAGGAGAAAGGGTTGCCGTCAGTAATGAACTCGCCCCTTTCCTACAAATGTTGATTGTGGATTCGAGTCTGACCATACAAGGAAAGTTCATTCCATCACACTAAACGGCGAGTAGTGGTCTGACACGTTGTCAGAGTGGTGGGCGTACCCTACAAGTATTGTTGAAGGTATGTCTACCCTTGGATTGAATTACTGCACACGTTGACTCGCTTCCAGGTCTTGAAGAAGGCGATCTTCGCCGAAACGTAGACCGTACTGATTGTTAACTGTTACTGGCAATAAAGGAAGGGACTATCAATCTTGGAAAGCTTAACATCATATATCGTAATTGACACTATGTCAAGATTCAGAAATAGTCGAACGTAATGTATATGTGTATTGTTGTCTAAGTTCTAAATTATTACTTTACTCGTTCTGTTGCATTTGGTCATGTTATTTCGAGGCTGTGAAAAGAGGAAATGAAGCAAATAAAATAACGACCGGAGCTTGCTGCTACAGACATTTTCTGGTTATATATTCATTGTGCTCATGATACATGAATGTCAAAGAAGAACACTGCAAGGGAAACGGCACTTCTACGCAACGTCTGTGATTTGTTTGTTCTTTCGGTTTCTTATGATGTCATCATCATTCACCTTCGCACAATCCCTGGCCTGCGTCGCAGCTGCCGAGACAAGCCGAACAAGGTTCTCCAACTTTGTAAACACTTTCCCCAACATTATTGCCCCTAAAATCCAGCGGCTGTCAATTAACTTTTCACAAAGCTGCACTGCAAGCTACTCAACATACCTCGGAGAATAGCGACAGATGACCACATAGTCGGTCGAGCACTCGGCTATCGCACAACCTAGTTTTGACGTCTGCGCCCAAGCGCCATCTATGAATTTTGATAAATCAAGTCAGCTACCAGTTTAGGGGTTTCATGTCTATCCAGTATCACAAAAATGTTGCTATTTTACCTGCGTAAACGATTCGATGGGTTGGACAACGTGGTTTTCTCGAAAGGTCGCTGCCATTCCGATTCCAGGATACAGGCGTACAACCTTCCACCAATTGGTGACGGCCTCAAATTTGCTGGACTATACCGTCTTTACAAAAAATCAATACAAAAATTACGTCTTTGATCGCGTCTCGATAGGTAAGGACTTTGCTCGAAATGGCGACCCGATGATAAAGCTCTCCTATTCCTTCCCTCATTCTGTTCGGATTCGCTATGCGGGCAAGAACTAACATAATCAATCGCATCTTTTTCCAACAAGCAATCTAGCCTTTAAAAGAACAAATTTGCTTTTACCACCTGTGCATCGAACTTACCAATTTCATCATGTTTGCAGCATACCTTCGATAGTCGAGAGACAGGGCGTCAAAAGTGAAGGTTGTTTGAACATCTGACGTCATAAATAGTGAAGGTTGTTTAAAGATGATCAGAGAAGAGAAAATGACATAAAACAGATACAAAAAGCAAAAGAAACTGCTGAAAATAGGATAAAAACGCTGCAATGAGGCTTAAAATCTTTCATTTGGAGGCTTTTCAGAGTGCAAGTTTTCGTTCGAGGACCACCAATTCGCAACACGGGGTTTTGATTTCTGATGCGTCCTTTGAATTTTTACCCCCGCATTGACGTTCCTGTTTCCTGGGACATTGTCTGGATTGTTGCGCTTATTGTTCTGAGCAAAAATCGCCCAAGTTGGAAAAAAATCGATGCGAAAGCACTGAAACAGAACAAGGTAAAGAAACACGCACTTTTAACGATTTTTCGCAAAAAAATCCACAATAATCGAAGAGATAAAGGCTGGGTGGTTGTCTGCATTATGAACAGAAGCAAGATCTATAGAATGCACGAAAAAACCGGGTAAAAAGAGGTAAACTAGAAGAAAAACAAGAGATTTTCGAAAACAAGGTTTTTGCCGGATTTCTCGTTCAAATCAAGAAATGTGATTTTGGGACGTTGTCAGCGTGAAAATATAGATCAAGAGCTTCAAAATGATATATAGCTTGCTAAGATTGGGTTCGAAACAACGAAGAAAAGTGCCCCGCGCCCCGCGTTTGGGGTAGCGAGGTAGCGCGCAGCGCGCGGAGACGCAGACGAGCAGCGGAGATAGACCAGAGCCGACGGGGCATTTGGCTCTGGTCGTAGATCTCGTCGGGGTCTCAACGAAACCCTGTAACATTATATATCATTCTGACCGTCATGACACGACGAGGAGAGCTGACAACGTACCAAGCTTTAAAAATCACTTACTAACGAGATAGACCAGCATTTTCGTGCGCGACTCTCTGCGCACAATTAAGCGCAGTTTCTCATTTTAATTCAACTCCAACAGCTTTCCAAACTTTTGAAACTCATTTTTGGTCAAGTAAGAGGCTAACTGAGGAACGTTGTCCTGAATTCTGAGGAAATTTTCACAGAAATTCTCTTTTCAGCCTAAAAAAGGCTTTAAAAAAAAGCAATTTCTCGGTTTCGCTGAGACATTCTTCAGATATTCTTTCCTATATTTGGTTCATTCACATTCTTCCGATATAGTCAGGATAATAACATCCGGGGCTTCGCCCCGGATGACTTCTGTTTTTTTCCCAGGTGAAGGTTGTGTCCCTTCATAGCCCTCAAAGTGAAGGTCACCAGAGTATGTGGCTCTATGTATCGAGGGTATGGTTTGCAGCTTTTCGAAGGAGTTTCTTTTTGGAACTAACCCCTTAGCAAACTGGCTTCTGGAATGCTCTAATTTATTTATAACTGTAAGAAAGACAAGGAAGAAGCTTGCACATTCTATCAGAAGACTTCTTTGCTCATCTGCGGAAATTATGCGTGTCCAAAAATTGTTGTCTCAGTACGTCGGTCATTTCCGTATTGGATGGACATTGCTCATTCGTACCTGCATGATTTTCACTCCTACCTTTGTCGTAGTCATTCAAATATTGGAAAAATCGTAAAAAAAGAAAATTTGTCTTAAAGGGCAAAAAAAAATTCTGTAGCGATCGTAAGACAATGCCAGATTCCAAACTGGCTTTTCGGTAGAGCATTTTGATATGTTCAGTGTCAATTCCAATTCTTTTCGTACTTGTTTATCCAGTCGGCACTTAGAAAGGAAACGTGACTCAAAATTCTCGACTTCCATGTTTTAGTTTTGGGGGCCTTTTTGTTTTCGAACATGAAGTCGAGAATCCGTGGAAACTCCGACAATTCCAGTTATGAAAAACCCTCAGGCCTGTTCTCCGGAACGTTGATTGGATGGAAACGCGGGATGGGCAGGCATTACTGTAGGGGGCGGTGCCGGCTTGAAGTTTACGTGAGGACTGCCCCTAAGTCGCAGTTTGTACAAAAGCGTTTACAATGTTCAAAAAAGCTCTTTTCGACTTTTGATCATTTCCTTGTTAGAGTAAAAATTCAGTAGTCATTTTCTCTTTCCATTACTCTTTGTCTTTTTTTTTGTACTTCTTTTAGAATGCTTAGAATTTGAAGCAACCTTTGATTGAGTCAGTCTTGGTCTCAGAGTGGCAAAAAACGCCAATTCAACTGACCCAATTCAATATCGAATCCCAAAGAACAGTCCATTTTGTAAATGAATATGAAGATGTATCATAGAGACTGAATGTTTGTACATACATGCTGCATGCAGCTTCATTCAACGTTGATATTGCGAACCAAAAGTTTTTCAAATGGTTTCAGAGCGATTTCACTTCAAAATTCTTGCTTCTATTCACCCATAATCCGAATAGCTTGGACACCTTAGTACTTATTCCAAACTTAGGAAACAAACATACACACGAAGCAAATCTGGGGCCATACGAAATGGTTTCCAAAATCTTTCAATCTGTTATCAAATATCATCAAATTTATTTCCTTAGAATTCTCAAATTCTGCTGAAACTCTGATCAGAAAACCAGATTTTATAAATTATTTACACTCCTTAGATGGAAAAGCTGAGTTATTCCTTATATCAGCGTCCAAGATTGTTATAGAAAGTTTAAAAATAACGGAGATGCAGCAGCCTATTTCCTAAGCTTGACTATCTTTTTTTAGGATTGTAGTTTCTAATATCAGCGGCAGCGGAGGTATAGGCCGTCCGCGCTGCGCACGGAGAGCAACGCCGTTGCGTACATAGAAGGTATTTCATGGTTGGAAGGAGCGCAGAGAAAACAGGTGGCGAGAGTGCACGGGGTGAGAGAAGTAACGCGCAATACACACCTTGCGCACTCTCCGCGCCCTGCGTGGACATATCTTACGTAGCGATATTATTACAGTTACTGCCTAGATCGGTATTGAGAAACTGTATTTGTGTATTTAAATGATGTTTAAGCTCGTTGGCCTAGTGTTGTATAGCTTGGGAGTAGCCGCGCCACTTTGAATTTTTCTGCCACTATGCACATAGCCGTAGATCTGAGAAAAGCAGTCTAATGCAGATAATTAAGCTTACCGGAAAAACCTTCTTCAGGGAATTTTGCTTGCCCCGAAACACAAGCAAGGCGGAGATAATATGAAACGATTTGTTAGTAATAGCTTATCTGAGGCGTTTTATGAAACTTACCAGGACGTTGAGATACTGCAGTAAAAGCATTATGAAACGCTTTGATAACTAAAGCTACTGCGCTTCTCTTTTATCTGTACGAAGTATCAGGGAACATGTTGTATTACTTCACAAGCATGACGTGATTGTCTTCATCATAGTGCTAACATTTGTATATGTATATCGGCATTATGATAGAGATTTGCACTGCAAAAGTGACTTTCTAGATGACGTTTCTGTTCATATTGAGCTACAAAGAACTTCGACTGACATTAATTTTGCCCAAAGAGAACCGTTATGTTGTTGTTAAGCAAGGTATAGCAGTGCATCATGAAAAAAGTGCTTGCTTGCCCTTTTCCTAGGCAATTGTCGATGAAGAAGGGCTCACTAAAAATTTGGAAATCTTCCGCGTTTCCCGCGAAAGCGTTCTGCAATCCTTTCTGTGGTTTTTCAAATCTCATTTTGTTTCAATTCACGACAATCTGCAAAAAACTTAACAATACAGATGAGTTTGGATATGGCGAAACAGTTGCGGCACCGCTCAAATTTCTTTTTGTATTCTTAATATGGAAAGTTAGAATCTAGAACAATTGGGAGTCGTATCGAGATGTTTGTACCAGCAGATAATTTTAGCACCACGAAGCGAAGCCCGTAAATATCCTCAGATCTACTCATACTGTAAGGAAACCCAGATCGCTGAGGAGTTCCAAAGGTACAGAAAATAATAGTATTGTCCCCAAAGGAAAGCAGTGTTTTTGCAAATATTGCAGGTTAACTCTCAGAAGTCGGCAGCGCTCAAAATGTCTACGAAATCTAGATTTACCGAATTACCGTAGAGTCCGAGAAACTACTTTACGTGAGAACAAACCGAAACAATTTGCTGCACAGCAAACATAGGAGTTAAAAGAGTTGGAAACAATTTTTTCGTAATATGCAAATTTCCGCTGAAAATCCTCATGCGCGAATACGCAAGATTCGAAAACCCAGTACTTGTTTGTTCTTGATATGGTCTCTAGACATAGAATACAGAAGCAATCATCAAATCATTACGTATATGTCTGTACCCCAAACCTCGCAAACCTAAAACACAAACTCTTATGCTGTAAGCGGGCAATGTTTGAGTAAATCAGAGTTTGGAAAGCAGCTGTATTGAATAAAGGTGAATGTCTTGCTTGAATTCCGAATTGACGAATCCCGGCTTCCCGTTTTGAGATTTTGCAAAGGAGGCAAAAATTTATATCTGTGACAAGAAGTACTATGTTTCTAGCCGAGTGGCCTTGAAGATTTTTATCTATGGCCTAAGGCATACCTCTCGCGACCCCAGTCGCGTCGCAAATTCCAACGCGGACATATGTTCCGAGTCCGCAGCGCATGCGCCTCCAACTGTGTGGTCCCGCCGCGTCTGTGTTAGATTGACGCCGCGACGGATCGCGGGCCGTTTTTGGACGGGCATACCTCAGCAGAGAAATCGTCGCGATATCGCTGAAACTCAGCGATGTCGCCGTCGTTAGTTCCAACCCAGCGATGAGCGAATCGCTCGAATAGCTTCTTCTTTGTTATCTGTGAAGTTTTGTATTTTTTTGCAAATGCAAATTTCATTTAGGACTATTCCGTCTCACACAATCGCTTCCTCTCCGCATGAGAGAAGGTAGGTCATGTAACATTCCATACTATAAATCCTTGAAAACAACACATGCGAAGTTTATAGTATGGAATGCTTCCCATATGTCACCTCATCCACTCTGTTAGCATTTACTGTTCTCGCAATGCACTATATCCTCCTGTTCTTGTTTTTCTAATAACAAATGGTGACAAAAATCAAATATTCCTGCTATAATCTTTGAAGCAGAATAGATGTGCATTATCTGTTCGTCAGGCATATACAGTCGAGTAGATTTAGCGGTAAATATAGTGTGCTTGTACAAAAGGTGAAATGCAGTGAAATTGGCGCGTGAAGAAATAGTTTCGACTGTGACGCCGGCCAATTGCGCGCGCAAGATACCCGCGGCACTGACGTGGCTACTGTTCACGCGCAAATTTCACCGCATTTCACCTTCTGTGCAAGCACACTATATTTACCGCTAAATCTACTCGACTGTACGTATACGTTCGCAGATTGGCAGACAAGAGCTCGCACTTGTTGTTGAAATAGCCTACCCACAGTTTTTTTTTTTACAAAGAAAGCATGATTTTACTGCACGTATATGCCTACCAGTGACTGAAAGAGAGCTCAAAACTTTATGAACTGGTTGTCGACTTCATTGCAGTGTAACTATTGAGCTTGTGTCCGTAGAAGAACGTTGGTACAGTCGAATCATTTCATATGATCATGTGTGCATCCGCACAAACCGTCCATCTTTCGCATTCTGGATTTGCAATCGGAAAACGCAGTAGACTGACCGATTCCTATGGCTTACATCACTAGGGTGAATAGTACCTAAAAAGGAAAAAAACGTTAAAAACACTTTGAAAACACCTCCATGAAGGATTGTCTCCTCCAAAAATCCAGGATTGGGACGCCAAAGGTGGACGGTGTGTGCAATGTCACACATGATCATACGAAATGATTCGACTGTAATTCTGTAACTACGGGGATGTGTGTGAATCCATATCCTTTCTGTTTGATGTAATGTTCTCTTGAAATAGTATATGGCGCCACAATCTGTTCGAATTCTCTTGAATAAATGCACTTCAAACGATTTAACGCAAGTTTTCCAAAAGTGCGTATAATGCAATGTGGTGAGTGAGTGTTCACAAAATCGTTACGGGTATGCCTAAGAGTCGAGCGATGGGCGACTTTCACGCACCGGACGGTCACCTAGGCAGTCTAGTCGCTGCGATCGAAAATCGTAACAACGGGATCGCTGGAGGTATGCCTTGGGCCTATCATTTTGAAGAGCAAAATGCTAATTCTGAATTGTCTAAATTTGTCTTCGGTTTGCTCTGCTCCTCCGCACGACCACTTGTGGATGTCTCTAAAAAAGAACCAAATGTAAATGAAATCATGGTGCCTCTAGCGCTTGTGTAAAGCAGTGATAGGTATAAACAAATTAAAGAAAAGTTTTCAATGCGTAGACTGCTCTGATATGCAACACTAGCTACAATGAATAGTTCTGAATGATTTTCGACTTTTTTTATATCTGAAACGCTGTACACTCGGCATTCAGAGGGGCACAACAGAGAGCGGAAGAAAATTTGGACTTGGCTTTCAATGCTGTTCAAATTATAGATTTCAGTTGACAAGGCCACCTCCACCGAAAACACTTTAGTTGTAAGAGTTAGATCAAATTTCTATTAAAATCCTAGAGTTTAATTATCTTCTCTCCTAGCAAGGGAAACCAGAGGTCGCCATGGCTTCTTCATATATACAGGGTGTCCCAAAAGTATGTATACACTGTTTGATCATCATTATCTCCCTTTCCTAGAAATCTTTTGCCTGCCTTCAGGTACCATTTTGTAGAGAAGGTTTCAACATAGATTTACAGTATGGAGCAAATTAACTATCTTCATTCAACACTGTAGGATTACGGTAGGAACTTCAAGAAGGGTTTTGAGCCATTGAGGGTCCTATTTCGCCTTAGAAAGTACACCTCTGTCAACCTGTTACACTAGACTAATCAAACTCGCTAAAACCAAATATGAACTTGCATTTGGCCACGATGCTTCCTTCATGACTTATGCCTCTAATCCGTAATAGCTGTTTTTACTATGCTCCCCAGAATTGCACTCACACCCTTTGAAAAGCTTTGCAAACTCCTAGAAATTTGAAAAAAAGAAATCAGCGCACGTAAAACCCCTGGTACACTACTTTTCAGAAAACTTTTTTCAAATACGGCTAATCCCCAATGATGTAAGCCAAAAGTTTCTACATTAATCCTACAGTAGCGAAGAGAACGATCGGTGGTTTGCTGCGCAATGTAAATCTAAGGAGCCCGCTCTACAAAAGGGGTGCCCAAAGGTAGGCGAAAGACTTCTTGGGGAAAGAGATATTAGCGATCAAACGTGTATACATATTGTTTTGTGTTATTGAGCCAGAACCGAAATTGTTACAGACTTTTATTGGCTTACGTTTCGGCTACTTCACCGCCGTCAGAGCCTGAATGGGACGATATGCAATTCGCAGACTACCCGAAACAAAGTTTTCAAACTACGCAAGCAAATTCAAAAGTCAAAGAGTGCCGGTATTTAGCGAAATTCACCCTTTTCCGTCAAACCTCTTCTGCAGTTGGAATACCGCCGTTTAGTATGGACGTAGGTGCACAGTGGGTGACATTTTAGAAAATTTGTCCCATATATGGTAGCAGCTCACGAGTGATAGCGAAACATTCTTCTTTACAATTCATTCGTGGATTTCGGGCATGAATGTGATAAGCTTCCAGAGTCTTGCGAGCTGATGTTTTTTGCTCATGCGCCAAGATTTGTAGTTTGATTTTGAAATTTTTCATGTTTCTGCATTCTGTGAGTGCCGCGTTGAAAGTCGTGAGTTCTCTTTACCATTAGGTGTTTCTTAATGCGAATACATAATGGCCGAACAGTTTCACCTATGTAATCATCACCGCCTTCCACCCACTGATGAGGTAGATTACTCCAGAGCTCACGCAGCTTCCATCTTTGATCGGGCAAATTACACATTTCGGAGTAGAGTCTCGATCGTATATCGAGTGTATGAATTCTTTTGGGACACCATGTATGTACAGGGTGTTTGGAAAGTAAGTGGCCTGAAGTATTTCCAATTCGAATTTTGACGCGCTTTTTGTTTTATTGTACTCATCAGGCCTAGATACCATTACTCCAGGTTAACCAGGTTTTCTTGTAGTTTTTTAGTTTTTTTAATTAGATTAAAACACTCAATATAGCTTTATAGACCACTTTCCTTGAAATGCTTGTTATAAAGAAAGTAACACAATTCACAGAAAACTTGGTACACTTTTTAGAAGCCCTTTTATTGAAATACTTACGTGTGCTTTTATTTTCGTAGAAGAAAGTTCTTTTTGAAATATCGTGCCTTAAGATACAGGAGATCCACTTTTAGGATTTTTTTGCGAACAAATCCAGCACCTTATTTTTTATATCTTATCTTTAAAACCTTTACAAGCGTGCAAAATTTTTGAAAATTAATAAAATGAAGATCAGAGACCCGCGCTACAAAAACATGTTGAAATAAGACTCCCAAAATTTCTTACCGAAAAAATTTCAAAGCAAAATTGTGCCGCGATTGTCTGCTGCAATTTAGACAAAAGAACTTGTGAACTTAGGACTACTTGTAGTAAAAAACGGAAAGCTCTCTATATTTTCCGGAGAAGTTGAAAAAAAGTAGAACAACTCAGATAACGCATCTTCCACCTTTTCAAGAAAGTAGAAAATTTTGTTTGCTTCTAAATTTTTCAAGGTATTTTGAGGCAAAAATATCTTTCTTTGTTGACCCATGGTTTCTAGGCTTGGCGAACACATATAGCAAAAAAGAGCTAGGATTCGCAGGTGAAGTGCTTGATGCCACAAACTTTTCAAACACCCTGTACGTGAGAATGCTCGTCTCAATGTTAGCTTTTGCAATGCGATTTTCGGGAAAGTTATGAGCAGGGCCAAGCGTGGTGGCGGCATGCCACACCTGGAAGGTTATATTGAGGAGTCAGGGAGGAGGAAGGGGGAGAGTCGTTATCGAAGTCATTGATCTTGATGTCAGCGATCATGATATTCGTTAACAATGTCATATAGGCCCATCATACAAAATACTAACACAACGATGTTTTGGCTTACTATCGTATACGTACAGTAAGCTGGTAAAAGAGCCCTAAAAGCATAAGAGCATTATTGTTACAAGTGGCTTGTCAAATAGCCCCTGCAAGCCAAGTTTGAATTCTGAGGTCAAATATTGGACCATCCGAATGAGATGGTCATTTTCAAACATTTGCCTTTGTCAAAGGTGAATTAATTACTTTTTTCTGCATATAAACAAAGTACTAGTACTTTTTTGTTCACACTAGGAATCCCCCTTTGAATAACCTCCGAACTATGGAATTAAGAGCAAGCCAAAATCTCGTCTCAATGCTGGCTATGCCTCTGTTCCATCTTTCGCTTTCGCTGAAATATAATGACGGCAGCCTTCTTCTGTGTTTGACCGGGTCTAAAAGAAACAACTCACATAAAATACTCAAACGTATATGTTACGATGAAATTTTCTCAAACTATAAAATTGTTTGCCATATTTTATTTTACTTTTCAACCACAAAGGCCCGTAGCCTCAAGCCACTTGCATTCCGTCCCAGAAGGACAATTTGCACAAGCTTCACCGGGTTCGTAGACAGTTTCGCCAACGATATTACCTCTAAAACATGGATTTGTGCGTTTGTCTTGTACTATTAGGTTGGAAAGAAGAAAATGTCGACTTCTTTGTTTTTCTTTTCAGCTAAAATTGATATTTTCCAAGAACTAGAGGGTACGCAGGGTGCGTCAAAAGTCTGGGAGCCTAGTACTTTTTTGTATAAAATGAGAAGGGAAGCACCTAGAAACAAAAATTTTGGCGCACACATAATTCGCACCATTGCAGATACAGCACGGTTCTTGGATTGCAAAATTGCCTCTTTTGGCTTCCACGCGGCCCTACAAAATCTTGGCAAGTCCACCTGTCACGGCACGCAGGTAGTCGTAATGAAATTTGCCCCGCCTTCACAATAATTGCTTATTTCACCTTGGCAAATGTGAGCACGATAGAGCAAGCTTTTATCTACAACATACTTCCAAAAGAATTTTTTGCATTACTTAGGAATAAAAATACTGGATTTTTGATTAGAAACATGTGTACGTCGCATACCGGATTTTCGGCTACAATTGCGCAAAAAAACTTAAAATTATTGTTTAAAAAGTATAAAAAGTGTTCCCAAGGCCGAATTTTAATAGATTCTAATTTAGAAGACGTATGCAAAAAATACAGTTTTGGTCCCAATGCTTGTTGCGCTTCTGGCTTCTAAGTTTGTTCTGAAGACGGATTTCCACTGGCACGTAGGTAACATTCGCAAACTTTTATTTCCCGTTTATGCAAGAACAGCTCCTGGCAAAAGCAAAACTGCGATCCAATGGCGCAAAACCTCTTCTATAATGTGTGCATCAAAGTGCCGTAGAATATTAACATCATTTCTAAAATTGCAAATACTAACATTTTTAGTTTTTTCGCTTTGCAAAAGTACTAGTATGGTAATTTCCAATTTTACAAAAACATATGGCAGCCATTTCCAGCTAGATAAAGTGTGTTTTGTAGAAGATGAATGCAGCATCACGTGGCATAGAATTGAAATCAAAACCACCAGTACCTTTGTAATTGCAATACTGCAAAGTTAGGCTCTCAGACTTTTGACGCAGCCTGTAGAACATATCCGACACCAAAGTCTAGTCCAATTTTTTCTTTATTTCTAAACATGTAGGAAATATGCCAAGAGTACCTATGATGATCGCATGTGTCTGTTACATGCAGGAGCATGAAAGGCTCGCAGAAGTTTTTGGGGCAATCTATTTTTTGAAAACGCGTTGCTCTTTTGCTCTGAATTTTGCGTAAACAACGACTTCTGCCATTTTCTAGAGATCATCTTGCTCGCCTTTTTTTCGGAAAATTCTTATCGCTTTGCTGTTAAACGGCATTCCTTTCTTTCCAAATTAGTATAAATGATCTTACGCTGGAGAGTATCGGCAAACAGCAGTATAGAGAGGCGGACAATGTACAATCGCACAACCCATTTTGCTTGACGTAGCCCACACCATCTGAATGTAAGTGTCAAATTCTCGCTCCTTGATCATCTACTCACCTGAGTGAATGTTATGATCGGAGTTCCTACGTGATTAGCCCTATATTTTGCGGTTTTTCCAAGGCCGGGATACTTGATAACAACTGAGTACCACGAACGAGCAGACTGTAAGAGAAAAATACGTCTAAGCTCTTTCACTTGCACGAAGGCGCATGAAGTAAATTTCGCAAGTTGCTTGCTTTACCGTTTTAGCTGCATTCAAGAAGTCCATTCCAGTTTCGGTAAGTTGGAAAAAATTTTCCCCTTGTCCACCTCTTGAGCCGTCCTCGGATCCAATTTTAGGACATTGACCAGCATATTGCAGCGCCGAAACTTCCAATTCACAGTCATATGTCTAAGCTGGTTGCATGCGAAACTCTATACTAGGTTATCTAAATGACTTACTAATTTCAGCATATTTTTAGCACCTGGCATGTATGTCTGGTCGTTCTTGACTGCTTGCCCTAATGCAAGCATACTCCTCAACATTTTCAAATACAGATACATTCAAAAAAGCAATCATAAGATGTTTTTGGGGTACCTTCGATCGTTGTGCAAATTAAGATAAGTCAATCTTATCTCATCCGTCATTCCGATGCTGTTGGGACACATTGTGTTAGTCTCTCAAATTTTTAGATAAACCCTTAAAATTTTAACAACTTCAAAACTACCAGCGACACACCTGGTGTTGTCTCTGGTATCTGGGCATTGGGAGACACCGATATGTCACTACCTAAAGTTATTTTCTGAATTCTTATTCTTCAGTTCAAACTACTGTGAACAATCGCAGTTTCCGAAACCTTATGCCTTTTTGTGGTAAATTCACTCACAGCATCTGATATGCACCATCAAAGAAAAGCGTTGACCGTCTACGTACGAGCTTTGCCATTGGGGTAAATTTTGTAGCGGTCCCACGAAGCTATTGACATGATTGTATGTACTTTGTTTCAAACTTTGGCGCGCAAGAACTTTAGCTGGGGTTACCACAGAGTAAACATTTCGAACATGCATCAAATCGTTCCAAAAAGGCAGCAGAGATGTCTAGTGTCATACAGGAGAGTGCTCTTGTTACTTACAAAGGAAATGTTTTGATGAACTCTCGGTTGATTTCTATACGTACTAAAAAATTTTATGGGCATCGGACCTGAATACAAATTCGCTTTCGCGTAATTTGAGGTATCAGTGCTTTTTGGAGCAGAAAATGAATGCAGTATTTGATTGGGTTTAAGTGACGGTACTTCAAAAAGTTGTTTATTATGCTTGCTATAGCCTTCTTTATGCCTAATAATAGGTAGACGATAATGCCAAGGGGGTGGGGGTGTTGTTTCCGGCGGTCGATTGCCACCAGGGTCAAACAAAGGGTGTGGCACACGATCGCTGGTTACGACCCCCCCCCCCCTGATTGCTGTCTTAATAAGACCTCCCCCCCCCCCTGAACTATATACCTAAGATAGCTTTACCAGAGTTGAGAAAGAGGTCAGGCACAAGTCTTTCGAACCCCCCCCCCCTCCCTCCCATGAAAGCCCTCAAACGACCCCTTCTTCCGGTAGGTCCGATTTTCTGTGACTGCACTTTACAATCACACGTAATTTGGCGGCTGATTCTGATCTGACTGGGCATATTGAAAGGGCCATAATTTTCTTATGGGTGGGGCGTTCGGCTCCAAATTTCCAATGTAGCAAGAAGAAGCTATGTGCTCAATACTCATACCAACAATGGAGCGCTTTCTGGATTTTGAAGGCAAGTTAAGGGGGTGCGGCACACCCCCTTAAAAGCTGCGGCAGCCGCAGCTTTTAAGGGGGTGTGCCGCACCCCATTAACTATATCAAAAAACATTTTTAGCGGACAGTATTTATGTGAATCGATAGCCTAAACCTTGTAGATCCCATAGGACTGTTTGGAGCCTGATTTGTCTTCTTAGCTCTAAGTAATATTTGGTGAAAGCACAGCGATCAAAAGCGAAAAATGGGAAAAACGAGATTTTGGTTGGCTTCTAAATCCACAGTTTGCAGGTCTTCTGAAGCGAGATTCCTGATGTGGACAAAGAAGGAGTAGTGCGTTGTTTTGAGTGCAAAAACGGATAGCTAATTCACCTTTGAAACAAAGTTGACCATGTTGGAATTTGACCATTTCATTTAGGTAGCGTAGTATCTTGAATCTTCAGAATTTGCTCACACTTTGTCTACAGGGGTTAATTGACATGCTAATTATGGATATGATACGAATGTCATGTTATCACTATTATCAGATTACCCAACTACGACCCCCTCCCCTTTTTGACTCCTCAATACGACCCCCCAGGTGTGGCGTGCCGCACCCCACGCTTGACCCTGATTGCCACACTACTCGCTTGACCCTGCGGGCAAGAAGAATGAGAGATCTAGCTCTATTTTTAGTACTATGTTATGTAGGAATAGACAAAAATTGAATGAAGTCGAGGTATCCATGTTGTACAAAGACTTCCAGACTTCCAAGCTTGACAAACATTCGCTTCAATCGATCTTCACCTTGATAAGATCTAAAACTTCGCTCGCTAAAATCATAAGAAGAACATAGTTTCGAATGATAAGCTGTGCATTGTTACCAATTTTTTGTGTTGGACCACAAAAGTTCCAGATAGCACTTACCATGGAAATAAACCGAGAATTAGCATTCATCTGCAAGGAAGGTGTAGCACCTTATTACATTCAGTTTCGATGAGGTCGTTGTTCTCTCATCTTGAATCATTACTCTCATACTCTGATTGTCTTATCTGCCCAAACTCTCAAATTAGAATAATTATCAAACGGAACATATCAATTGTACATTAGCAGGCACGCCATATCAAGCGCGATTTGCTGAGGCTATATTCGGCAAGTACTAAACTCTAAACCTCTTTTTTTGTTCAAAAGGAGAGTGGACTTAGTATGCTGTTGAAGCGGGTTAACTCACCTTCCGAAATAACCAATCCAGTGGCGATAATCTGGAAGACCGAGTTGCTGAATTAGAAAAGTAAGATGAAACTTACCAGAAGTACAAAAATTTTCAGTCGAAGCATCTTCTATCAATGGTTTATTGCTCGTTTCCTTTCTATATAAACCCACTTTGAGAAGAAAGCTGTAGCCCGTCATAGAGACGCCTATTCAGCAATGCGTGGTATGATATTAGAAGCGCAGATATTTGTTGCGCCTCACAATCAGGAAAAAAGAACATGACTAAGAAGCTGAGAATATTGATAACATCCCGGCGCTTCAACTTCCGCAATAACTTCTACTTTTTTATTGCTAAACTTAAATTTCGTTGGAATCTAGAAGATGGATTATTATGAAAACAATTTGATAGCATGGATATGGCTTTTAATAAGATAATGCAGGAGGAAACAAAGTTCTGCCTTCATAAGCGCAAAACTAAACAAGAACGCGAGCACTGTGAAGAAAGATGCTACAGAATGGCAAAGTTGTTCGACCGAAACATGCTTTCTATTTGCTCAGTTGCATTTTGGTAGAAGATAAATAAATATTTGAATAACAGGCACAGAACATTTTCCGGCACACCCTCCCTGATAAATGAGCTCTCACAAAATGTTCAAGAACAAAAAATAGTCCCTGTAAAATTTTTTCAAGGCTAACGCCACATCCAGGGGACGATGGGCGTAGTGGTATGAGGCGCCGCTATGACCAGATCGAACACAGGTTCGATCCCTGCCCCTGGGCCAACCAAGCCCTCTACCCTCCGGGGCTGGTAAATTGGTACCGAGAGAGGTATCTGGGAGGGATAAAAGCACTGACTTGGACACGGCTGGCCCCCGCAAGTCACTGTAATAGCTCGCACTCAGTCTACAATTGCCTCTTCGACTATGAAGTTACACACTAACTTCATAGTCGAAGAGGCAATTGTATGCGTGCGAGCCTATTACAGTGACTTGCGGGGGCCAGCCGTGTCCAAGTCAGTGCTTTTATCCTCCCAGATTACTCTGGTACCAATTTACCAGCCCCGGAGGGTAGAGGGCTTGGTTGGCCCAGGGGCAGGGATCGAACCTGTGTTCGATCTGGTCATAGCGGCGCCTCATACCACTACGCCACTCGTCCCCTGGATGTGGCGTTAGCCTTGAAAAAAAATTTTACAGGGCTAATTTGAATTTTTAAAAAATTTCAAATTATTTTAATTATTTAAAGTCTGAACAATCACACTTTTTGAAACCCATATAAGTGACGTTCAAAATTTTGGCGACCCATTCCGGGAGGGGGGGGGGGGGGAAATGGTGAATGGGTATATTATTTAAATTCCGGTTATGTATTGAGCGAACGAATTTTTTCGCTCCTTGTAGTGAATCTCAAAAGCATACTGGCAGATAGTCGATTTCTGAGAGTATAAAAACTCATAAAAGTTGCAAGATTTCTAAAAGGAAATCGTCAGAAGTCGAAGTGGCCAAACCAAACAAGTTGTGTACCATTCAATACAGTATAAAACGCTGACTTCGAATCAGCCTTTCTTATCTGCTTCTCGCTTCTGTGGACGAAGCTACGAGCAGTTTTATTGTGATAAAACCGTACATAAAACTGCGAGATTGAGCACATTTGTTCTGATCTGGTATCAGAAAACCTTCAAAACTAGCTGTTGTTGTATGTTTGCTGTTCTTAGCATTATCATGAGTAAATAGCACAATAGTGTTTGGCGTAGAGGCGGCCCTTATCAAGGGGTCAGCCCTACGCCAGTCTTCTCTTCTGTAACTCACAAAGAGCAGCTGTGTATATCAGTTTTCGATCTAATAAATATTCAAAACCACTGAACCACCTTCAAGGGATACAATATCCCACACCATAAAAACCTTTCAATAAAGAATTTTAAGAAAAAAACACGCTAGCACTCATAAAAGCTACTTGAACTAACTTGAACTAAACGCTGCCGTCTTCACCAGAGTTCTGAAATTCTTACCATATCTTTCAAGCGGCTGTTCCATACCTCGGATCGAATCCAGCTTGAGGCCGCATGCATTAATATCCCCGCCAAGGACGGGATCGCAACTTAAGAGAAATCTTCATTTTAGGTTCCAGATATCTGATTCCAAGCTGTCTACCTATTTATTCTTACTTAAAGCAATAGCCTGTAAAATAAAAACTATTATTTGCAAAAATGGCGGTGAGCGAGCAGCGACGGGCTAACAGCGGGCAGCTATGATCTTCCATGAGTCAGAAATAGCTGCAGAGCGCATTCCTCCAAAAGCAGCCAGAAGGAGGCAACGAGGCAGCGACTCCGTTAGGCTGGCAGCGACCGTGAAACGATGGGGATGCGAATGCAGGATTTCTGTGAGCGAGCCGCATAAATGCTATAAGAAGGCAGCCTCAATTCGCGACGCTGTATTGTGGCTGCTAATTGGAAGCCATATTGTTGCCCTCTCGAAGTTAGATGTGCAGGAAAGCGAGATTAGCAGTTTAAACTTGCGTCACTTTTGGTTTCATTGTTGCCTCATCTTCTTTTATCATATATATCAGTGTTAGTCGCGCATTACCTTCTTTACTTTTCTTCCTAGGCTAGGGTTCCTCGGGGTCAAACAGGACTTCGTTTTTGGGGTAGAGAGCAAAGAAGATATCGTAAAACCTGTTAAACATACATGTGAGTAACTATTTGTTCACTTCTGCTAACTATCAATTTGGTACATGAATGACATGCTCTGACGTGTTCAAAATCACATCCTCAGACAAATGATTGGAACTTCCGCAGAGCGCTTGCGGAACTTCCGCCGGGTCACTTGCGGAAGTTCCGTAAATGTGCTGCGGAAGTTCCGTAAATGTGCTGCGGAAGTTCCGAAGAATGCCAACCACAACAGCAAAAGAGAACACCGAAGCGAGATTTGAACCCCACTCCATTGATTGTGAGACCCACCTACTACCCTTTACACTACGGCTGACATGTTCGTTAATCCACTCTAGTTGTTGGCGAGGCAACATCACGAACAGGGCCCGGCACGGGTTGGTTTGGAGGTTTTTAGGAAACGAAGTCCCCCATGACTTTGCGAGAATCTACGAAGTCTCTCTTGACGTAAAAATCAGTGGAAGAACCCTTATTCAATCATACCATTTTAGTGCTCAGAATGTCAAAAAACTTCTAGGCCAATCAAATCTGTGGCCTCAACAATCTGGCGATGCATTTGTCGCCACATAGTTAAAAGGACACCGCATGTGATTGGAGCGCAATATCTATTAACGCACAGATTTATTTACACTGCTTCTGGCTCAAAAAAAGAGGAGAGGCAGTGGTTTGATTCATTCTCTACACTACATAATAGATTTTTTACCGTTCTAATCGTCCAAATCAAAAAGGTCTAAAACTTATGTGAACTCTCCGATATTTATGCTCCGAACCAACCCAGTTGGTTTGGTAGTTGGTCTAGAAACCAACAAATTCGAGAACGGATATTAGGACACATAGGTTTTGGGAACTTTTTACATAACATAGTTTGGAGTAATATTGTATATCATGGCCCAAATCCGAACCATGTGATTGTTTGTGCGCTGTAAACAAGCCATATGTTTGTTTGAGTCTTGCATTTGAAGTTCGCGCGCTTGCGAAAGAACACGTTCAACTTGTGAAGCCTGACATGTTCGTCGTGTTTTTTTGGCGCTTCCTCCAGGACCTCATAAAAACGATGTCCCCGTTGGTTCTAACTCCAAAAACGAAGTCCAGTTTGACCCCAAACCAACGCAAATTTGCAAGACGGTCGAGAATTTCCGTTGCTGCTGACTCACACTGTGTCTTTTCGTCTACGATGCGGATCGACTCATTAGGTAGAGCACACACGGCAGAGTGATGTCTTCTGGTCCTACAGTGATAACACGGAATTCGATACTTGAGGCATCTGTAGCCGCCCTCACAGCGAAGCTCTAGACAGTTGAAGCATCTTCCATTCCTTCTCAGGTAACCTTTCCTTTCCGCTCGATTCTCAAGGTGGCACATGAGTCGGAGTAATGAGTGCCTACGGCTCCGCAGAACACACATCTCATAGTTTTTTCCTCTTCTCGGAACACTCCGTTTTCGAATTGTCTTGGTCTACAGGTTCTTTGCCTGGCCAATGCTCTTGCTCGTCTCTGCACCCTTTCGAGTTCGTCTTCAAGTTCCGCTATCTCCCGTAATGTTCTTTCTTCCGCTGATTCATTCGCCGAAGATCCGCGTCTGAGAGGCGGACCCTGCGGCCCGTTCTGTGGTTGCGTCGGTACAGAGAAGGCTTGTGGTCCGTTCTTGGTTGTGTCGGTAGAGGAAAGGCTTGCGGTCCGTTTTGTGGTTGAACCGGTAGAGGTAACGGCGGTGGAGGCATGAGTGGAAACGGGGGAACGGCATACATTGATGGAAACTGTGCATTCCAGGTCCTTGCGACATCGCCTGTCTGCGTTGCTTGTGACTGGGTAGATCCTCTTTTTAATTAGGTGGAGTCTGTCTGCGTGATTTCTGTAGACGTCTTCACCATTGACTTCAGTTCTAGGACTCTGTCCTTTGTGTCTGCCACCATTTTGCTCACAAAGTATATCGCCTGGAGAATGCGTTCGTTTGTGTCATCCTTTGCTGCTCGTTTTTCTGTGAGGCAGTTCGCTCGTACTTCTTTCATGTTGGCGAGGAATTCGTCGATCACCTTCAGCTGGTCGATGATCACCGTCTCGAGAATCTTCGGGTCCGTCAGCAGCTCCGTGCCCGACCGTTTGGTATACATAAGCAGTGTCAAGCGTGGGGTGCGGCACGCCACACCTGGGGGGTCGTATTGAGGAGTCAAAAAGGGGAGGGGGTCGTAGTTGGGTAATCTGATAATAGTGATAACATGACATTCGTATCATATCCATAATTAGCATGTCAATTAACCCCTGTAGACAAAGTGTGAGCAAATTCTGAAGATTCAAGATACTACGCTACCTAAATGAAATGGTCAAATTCCAACATGGTCAACTTTGTTTCAAAGGTGAATTAGCTATCCGTTTTTGCACTCAAAACAACGCACTACTCCTTCTTTGTCCACATCAGGAATCTCGCTTCAGAAGACCTGCAAACTGTGGATTTAGAAGCCAACCAAAATCTCGTTTTTCCCAGTACTCTGCGTTGATACCACTGCTT